CTGAGGGATGGCAAAGTGGGCAAAACACCTTCTAAGTGCAGAGACCTGAGTTCAATCTCTAGAACTCATGGAAGAATGCTGAATAATCACAAGTACTTGCAATCCTAGTACTAGAAGTCCAGTCAGGAAGATCCTGAAGGCTCACTAGCCAGCCAGTCTAATCTAATTGGTGAGCTTCAGTCCAAGAGACCCTGTCGCAAAGGAGGCAGATCGTGTTCTTGAGGATGATACATGAGAGGTTCTCTTCCAGCCCCCACATTGAACACACATGTGTATGCACACTCATGAACATACACCCATGCACATAAAAATATCAAAATCTTTAGAAAAAAAATGTTTATCAGTCACCCATATATTACTAGTTCTAACGGAAATACTGCTTAAGTTGAATCAGCACCTATTATTACAAACTCTCCTAGCCCCTCACTCAAAGTAAGTGTGGGCTCAATTGCAAGTAGAGGACAAAGGCCTCTAACTTGAAGTTGTAAGGACATTTTGTACTTGGGGTGACAGCTTAGAAAGAATTGAGGTAATGAATGCCCCAGGTAACTGAAGGCCTGAAGACAGGAGCCCTATAACATCGAGAGAGCAGGCATCAGTCTAGATTAAAATAAATTGACTTAAAAACTCTAGTACTCTGAACATCTATGAAAAGAAAGATCTTTTCTACTTTCCACTCCCCGGACCTGGAACTAAAGTCACTGTCACAATAAAAGTCAAGCTAACTTATTTGACAAGACTCTCTGAGGATTAGGTTGGGAACGATATAACAGTAACACTTTAAGAAAGTATTTTCTGAATGCCTGTCATTTGAATGTGAAGGGGCTAAATTAAAACACACACACACACACACACACACACACACACACACACACACACACACACACACAAAATGACTGCTAAACAGTCCAGAAGTTTAAATGACTTTTGCTACTATTTTTTTTTTAAGATTTACTTTTATGTAGCTGTATGTATGCATGTCTGCCACATGTGTTGTTGGGCTGCCCATGGAGCCAAAAAGCATCAGATCCCCGGAAGCTGGAGTTACAGGTGGTTGTGAGTCATCCAACATGGCTGGGATATAAATTCAGGTCCTTTGGAGGAGCAGCCAGTGTTAACCCCTGAGCCATCTCTCCAGCTCCTCCACCTGTTTTGTTTTGTCCCCATTTTTAAAAAAAATGTTAAGCCGGGCGGTGGTGGCGCACGCCTTTAATCCCAGCACTCGGGAGGCAGAGGCAGGCGGATCTCTGTGAGTTCGAGGCTAGCCTGGTCTCCAAAGTGAGTTCCAGGAAAGGTGCAAAGCTACACAGAGAAACCCTGTCTCAAAAAAACAAAAACAAACCAAAAAAAAAAAAAAAAGTTTTAGAGACAGAATCTTATGTAGTCCAGGCTGGTCTCAAACTCTCTTTGTATTAGAGGGATGACCTTGAATTTCTGATTCTGATCTTCTGCCTCTACATCATGAATGTTGGGATTACAGGCATGTACCACCATGCCTAATTTTATCTGATTCTGGGGACTGTGAGGCCAGGGATTTGTGGAAATTAGGCAGGCATTCTACCAAATGAACTACATCCTCAGCCCAGATGGTCCTTGTTATTTCTAGTTAAGTCAAACATCATCTACTCATTAAGGCCAAATGTGATGAATCTACCTTAAAATGCTATACATTGCTCCCTCTACTTTTTCTAACATACCTGTAAATGCATTTATCATGTTCAGAGTTATTTCAATCAGACACTTAATTTACAAATGATTTTCTTTTGATCTGTTCTGTGGTGATATTTTGTTAGTGCTCTAGCAAATAAAGCACGACTGGACACCAAAGCACAGAGCCAGCCACTAGCTAACCTTAGAGGCCAGGCAGTGGAGCACACACCTTTAATCCCAGCACTTGGAATCTCATGCCTTTGATCCCAGTCCTTGGGAGGCACACGCCTTTAATCCTAGCACTCGGGAGGAGGAAACAGGAAGTGATATGGTTGGGCAGAGAGAGGAATATAAGGTGGGCAGAGCCAGGAAGGAGCTCAGCCCTTTCAGGCTGAGGAGTTGGTGAGGTAAGAGGTGGCTGTGGCTTGTTCCTTTGTCTCTCTAATCTTTCAGCATTTACCCTGCTATCTGGCTGCAGGTTTTTATTATTAAGACCAATTAGGATTCCAGCTACACTGTTCAATAAGAAACTATACATTTATGCATGTTTCTTCTTGACTATAAAAGCATGCTGTAGTGTTGAATAAGAATGGTCACAATAGGGCTCATGTATTTGACTGTCTGATAACCACTTAAGAAGGATTAGGAGGTGTGGTATTGTTGGAGGTGTGTCATTGGGGGTGGGCTTTTGAGTTTTCAAAAGCCAGGCCCAGTCTTGCTCTCTGCCTCCAACTTGCAGGTCAGATGAGAGCTCTCAGCTACTGCTCCAGCATCATGCACGCCTGCTACCATGCTTCCCACCATGAAGACCATAGACTAGCCTTCTAAAACGTTAAGGAAGCTCTGACTTAAATGCTTCCCCTTGTAAGCTGCTTTGGTCATGGTTTTGTCACAGCCACAGTACAGTAACTAAGACATATGCTTAAAGAGAATGCAAAGAACTTTCCCAAATGACTCTTTAAAAAGTAAAGTTGAAATACTCCTTCCCAAGGCAAAGGCCAGATGGTTTCTTAGCCCCTCATAAATCATTCAGAATGGCTTATGACAGCTGCCATATTACTTTAGAATAGGTAAAAATTTATAAGGAATGTTACAACCTTATAAGATAAAATCTACACAACATTTAATTTTGCTAATTTCATAGACTATTTATAAATAAACGAGGTGGTAAAAGAACCATGACTGGAGATCTGAATTTTTGTCCACCATCCAGGATTCATTCAGCATTTACTACATGTCAAACAAAGATAATTACGACAGCATATTCCCTTTCAGTAAACTCAGGATTCAGCTGTAGGCATGAGCTGCAAAAACTGATAACATCCTCTGGCAGGTGCAATAAGAGATACCATAAAAAAAAAAAAATATGGAGAAATATAGTGGGTTGGTGGTGTTGCTTTGAGATAGGAGTCTCGTTATGTCGCCTAGATTGATCTCAAATTCTGGAGCTGAGTGATGTTCTCGCCTTAGTCTCCCAAGTAAGGTTTTAAAAATACAAAAAACATCCAGGAAAGGCGCAAAGTTACACAGAGAAACCCTGTCTGGAAAAACCAAAAAAAAAAAAAAAAAAAAAATACAAAAAACAAAGCTCACCATGGTAGGAAAGTGGAGATGAATTGGATGTGGTCAGCCTGGAGACAAGACCATAGCAAAAATCTACATAGGTTGAGCCTTTCTGTAATTAAGGCAAGAGTGCATGAGGACACAGTTCATTAAATGAGTGCTGGGTGCTACATTCTTCCTATGTATTGTATTAAAACTACCTGACAGTGGTACACAGACTAATACTCAAATTTTACAAGGATCTGTGGCTAAGCATAGACAGGGAACTGCTGAGGCACTTGTTATTGGGAGAACTGTGATTTAAACGAAATGTACGATTTTAGAGCCTATAACAAGAAACAGCCCAAAACAAAAACTGAGTTTCCAAACACTCGGCTGAGCTGGATAAGAACAGAGGTTAAGTATGCACTGTCTGCAGGCAGAGATAATTGAGAGGGTGTCAAAATGCAAGAGGCAATCAACAGCGTGGAAAGCTTCAGTTAAGACTGATTCCAAGTGTGGGGAGAAATAGCTCAGTGGAAAACTCTTGCTTAGGATGGCAAGGCCACAGGTTCAAACCTCAGAACCAAGAAAACACACACAAACACATGACCCAAAACCAATTCAAAATACCTAGTGAGGTTGGCACTTCGGGAGCAACCCAACCACTTAGCAAGCCTATTGTATTCTAATGGTAGAGACAGAAGCTACCTGCCAGTGGATTTAGAAATACATAGAGGACAGACCTGAAGGAGATAGACGGGTGTTGATTTTCCTAAAAACGTAGCTGTGCAGAAAAGCACAGTCCAAGAGAGGTGTTGTGTAAAAAGAATAAAGTATGAGACAGACACGAACTGCATGTGTGAAATGCGGCAAGAAATGGAAAAGGTTTAAGATCCGGATAAACAAAAACTACCTGATGAAGCATAGGACCCTTGGTATTGAAAGGGCTGGCTTTTGTTAGTGTGTTTTCCACATCTGAAAGTCCTTCGGTTTCTCCTTGAAGCAAAGGCAGAGGAAGGAAAGGAGGGGTGGGTTAAGGGCTGGAGAAGACGAGGACGCTGTCCGACAGCATCTGCAGCTAGAGGAAGGAGGATGCAGATCAGCAATGCCTCACTAAAAGAATGCCCTCTCAGCACTTTATGTCCCGAGGGTCTCAACACCAGAAAGCCCGGAAGGCCAGAGAGAGGCCTGCAGGAGGAAAAAAAAAAAAAAAAAAAAAAAACACTCTGATGCAGGTTAAGTCCAGGCCCCTCTCTCCGAGTTATGTAACTTCCTGGGCTAAAACCTTGTCTGAGCCTCTTTCCCCCAAACCCACCGCAGCCCATCCCGCGCGGGACTGCGGCAGGCGGAGGGCGCGCGGTCCCGTCCCGCGCCGTCCGAGCCCGGGGGACCGCAGGTGGCGGCGACTCTGCTGCAGTCGTGGCAGTTCAGAGTCCAGCGCCCAGCCCCGCGCGCGGGAAGGCAGCTCCGGGGGCATGCGGCGGGGAACCTGAGGGAGCGGAGCGGACCGCAGAGCGCTGGCCCGGCAGGGGAGGGCGACGGCGCGGGGACGTTACCTCCAGCATGCCTCTCCGGCTCGCCCCTGCCGTGTCGATGAGCGTGTTGTCCAGGTCAAAGAAGACCGCGCGCACACGACTCAGCCCCATCGCCTCGGCCGCTCAAGCCGCCCGCGAGCCGCCTCCGCCGCACCGCGCACGCGCGAGGCCGGCCAAGCGACGTTGGGCGGAGTCGCGGGGTCACCTGACTCTCCTGAACCGCCGGGGCCTCTGCGGAACTACCGCGAGATGCCCTCGATACCTGAGCATGTGAGAGCCGGGGGATTACGCAAGACTCGGAGAGGATCGATTTTGTAGACGGTGCGCGTGCGCGAGATGGGTGCGAGCGTATTATGGTGGCTTGCTAATGGGCGGGTGGACGTTTAGGAGCGCGGGTCTCTCTTTCAATGGCTTGGTGGGCTTGCTTTCCTTTCTCTGCGGTATGGGCTGAAAAGGACGTCCGAACCGCACTGGAGGAACTCTCCAGGCACTTGGCTGGTCTGTCTTTGGTGACTGCACAGTCACCATCACGAGCTGGATCACCACTGGGTAGCCTGTAATCTATGCTACGCTTTCCAGCCTTGGCACCCTGCTGCCTGATGTCCTCAGCGCTTTACTTCCTGTCCATAGCCTTGTTGAGCCTGGGGTCTGCACCAGAACATCCTCTGAAAAATGCTTGAACCCTTGACAGCTGTGTCTAAAGAGACGCGGGAAGCTTTACAGTATCAACTGAATGGTTTTCCCATTTTTAAGGTGTTTTTTTTTTCCTATGTGTATTTGTGTTCGTGTGCACACGAGTGCAAGTGCTTGCAGAAGACCGAATAGCGAGCTGTTCACTGTGGGTGCTGGGAACTGAACTTGGGTCCCCTTCAAGAGCAGTATGAGTTCTTAGCCATTGAACCATTTCTGCAGCTCATTTCTCCCCGCTTTTATTCATTTCCCTGAAACCTTGCAGTCCATGTCTTGTGTGCCTATTAATTGCATGGTTTCCTGGCTATAACAAGAGGGAAAGGAAACTAACAGACTGTTAATCGCCACCACCCACCCCCACAAGGGCAATAACAAGGTTCGCCTTGTGGTAGTTGAAATCAACTTCTAATCCTTTTTGATTAATGAAATTTAGGGCCACCATCAATAACCAGAAATGATTTATTGGGTCCGTCAATGCTACAGACCTGATGTTGTTGAACTTGCAACTAGGAGAGGTTCTTACATTGTAAGTTGTTCAAAGAAACCAAGAAGTGTTTTATGACATGAACATTGATGTAATTCAAGTTCAATTGTCCATAATTTTAGTGTGTTGAATTAACTTTCTTTCTTTTCTTAGGTTTCTGGGACAGTGTCTCATTGTGTAACCGGCTGGCCTGGAGCTATCTATGTAGACTAAGCTGGCCTCGAATTTACAGCGATCCGTTTGCCTCTGTCTTCCAAGTGCTAGTTCTAAAGGCATACACTACCACCTCTGGCTTGAATTAATTTTGACTGGGATCTGTGTTTATTCTTGAATGATACCAGCTAAAAGTGGCTTCTGTTCATGGTGAACCGATACCCTACCTGGGCAATACATACAAAAAATGTGACAAAACAGCTAAGCCTTCAGCCAGTCGGGCTGAAACTGCCGAAACATAATTATGTAAGGTAAATGCTGACTTCAGCCAATCAGATTGTTCCTGTATACCATTGTCTTTTCATTGGCTATAAATCTAACTTTGAACTGTATTGTGTGCGTAAGGAACCCGCTGAACCAGCTTTCATCTGATGTTTTGCCTGACCACAGAACTTCCCATTTGTTGAAATAAGTTTAACTCATCTTGGGTTTTTAATCATTGAAATGCAACATTATTAATTTGTTTAATTAATTAATTTAATAATTGTTGGTGTGTAGTATATTTCTGCTTTTGCCTACAGTGACAGAGTTGAATAACATCACCGTTAGGTTTAAAATAGTTAGCTTTTAACAGAAAAAAAAATGCTCCCATAACCTGAGATACACAAGTCACAAATGGGTTTCTGATGCCCAATAGGAAGGGATGAATGGCAGACTATCTACAGTTTCTGTATTTTGTGGAGCAGGGTCACAGTTGAAATCCCCTTGCTACTGGGGAGAATAAGTTCATGCAATTTCTCCAAAGTATGCCTCTTCTAATAGACTACCTCTCATTGATACAGTGGTAGGGAATCAGTTGTGTTCACTCGGGCTAGCACTACCTCCCATGGATACAGTGGTAGCGAATCAGTTGTGTTCTCTTAGGCTAGAAGTCAGCCAAAATTATGAATGCATTATGTGGAGTTACTTTTTGTAGTTGTGTCAAATGTCATAATCAATGTAGAAGCAGCTGCTGATGGGCACGTGAATCTTACAGAGTTGGAGCTGGTCTTCTTCTAATGTGCATATAGAGTGTTCCTTGGTTCAGTGACAGATCTAAACCTAGACAAGGCATAGCAGTCTATGTAATCAATCCTAACAGACAGGTTTGTTTGACTTTGTGTTACCAGGTATTGGTTGGTGTCTTAGTTAGGCGGATGGTGAAAGCATGGGGCTAACAATGAGGGCTCAAATCCAAAGGCTATAGCACTAAACTGGAGTAGCCCAAATAGAAAGCAACATTCGGGGGCTGGAGAGATGGCTCAGAGGTTAAGAGCACTGACTGCTCTTCCAGAGGTCTTGAGTTCAATTCCTAGCAACCACATGATGGCTCACAACCATCTGTAATGAGATCTGATGCCCTCTTCTGGCCTGCAGTCATACATGCTATATAATAAATAAATAAATAAATAAATAAATAAATAAATAAATAAATAAATAAATAAATAAATCTTAAAAAAAAAAAAAGAAAGCAACATTCATTTAACACACACCTATGTGGGACCAGAGGCATCCACCATCTAGCAACTGGTGCCAAGGCTGGCATCTAGGTATCTGGCAGAAGATATGGCTGAAGAGGCCTCTGGGAAAGGAAGTGCTAATGACAGAAGTGTCATGGACAGAGTCTTTGCCACAAGGTCTCCTGTCCAATTGAAACACTGGTTCCAGTCACACTGGATCCATCATTGCTTGAGACTAACTCTATACTGTAAGAGTCTTATTCCCACTCCATGTTATTAATTTATGGAAAGGTCTGGTAATTTATAATATTGGGTGACTGCTTGTATCATGTGTTTGTTCCTTGTCCCAGTTACCGAGTCCCTTTAATCCCTCGGTGTGCCCTGAGTGATGCAATGTTTTCTTGCCTGTAATAATCCCACTTGGATCACATCTACATTTATAGCAATGTGGTGAGGGAAAGTATGTAGATAGCTTCAGGGAAGGCAACTACCACAAAGACTAAATGGTTAGAAGGTAGAAGATGGAGTCCTCTGACCCACTCCCCTAACTTGGAAGGGCTGAGCAGGGTAAGGGACAGAGATTAAACTCCAGAAACATTGTAACAGCACCCTCATACTCCCCATAGTGCTGAGTGAGTATAAGTCAGGGCCATGAGGGCAAATCACCCAAAATGTCTGTTGCATTGGCCTTGTCCTTCCACAAACCTCCCTCTTCTGGGTTGATCCTGGATCTATCTCCAAGGTCACAAAGGATTTTTGACCATCAGAGTCAATTTGGGCTAGCAGGAGAGGCTCAGGGCGGGACAGGGCCCAGGGAACTCACACAGGAAGCAGCTGCTACCTTCACCATGTGGGCCAAGGAATGTGTCTCCTAACCACTCTCACTGTCTCACCTGACAATAGCATTTTCCAGGAACTGCATAAGTGCCCTTCCTTGGGCCTTGCAATGCCCTTCAGACCTATGTGAGGGCCCAGAAGCAGTGAGGGCTCCAGACAGACCCACTCAGCACTTCTTGCTCCCCAAGGACTTTCAGGAACCCACTTATGCTGTGGGATGGTCTGTATGGCAAATGTGTTGCTGATTGGTCAATAAATAAATCACTGATTGGCCATTGGCCAGGCAGGAAGTGTAGGTGGGACAGGGAGGAGAATAAAGCTGGGAAGTGGAAGGCTGAGTCAGAGAGACACTGCCAGTCGCCACGATGACAAACAGCATGTGAAGATGCCGGTAAGCCACGAGCCGTGTGGCAAGGTATAGATTTATAGAAATGGATTAATTTAAGCTGTAAGAACAGTTAGCAAGAAGCCTGCCATGGCCATACAGTTTGTAACCAATATAAGTCTCTGTGTTTACTTGGTCGGGTCTGAGTGGCTGTGGGACTGGCAGGTGAGAGAGATTTGTCCTGACTGTAGGCCAGGCAGGAAAACTCTAGCTACACACTTATGTAGCCGGAAGTTTGCCTGTGTCCCACAGCTGCTTGGTCCCAAGTAAACATATAGAGGCTTATTATTACAAACTGTTTGGTCTTTGGCTCAGGCTTATTGCTAGCTAGCTCTGACATCTTAAATTAAGCCATTTCTATTAATCTATATTTTGCCATGTGGCCATGGCATTACTGGTCTGCTGGCATCTTGTTCCTTGGGCAGCTGGATGGTATCTCCCTGACTCTACCCTTCTTACTAAAGTTTTCCATTTTCAGGCAGGAGGAGATGATACCTATGCCTTTACATTGGACCATAAGTTGAAATTGGACTGTGATCTTTGCAGGAGGCCTCACACTGAGGAAATAAAATGGAAAAACTTGTTCCTTTTATGACAGAACAGAGACACTACAGCCATGTATGAGTAATACACAGTAAGACAAAGGGAGTCAGAGCAAGCTGGCTGGAAAAGGGATTTCCAAAGAGCCACATGGGCTTCAAAAATTCTCCTTCAGCTCCAGAAACAAGTAAAAAAGGAAACCAAGAAGAACCATTTTTAATCCAGCTGTGATTTCACAAAAGGGAGGAACTATGGGAATAGATGTGAATTTGCTGAGCATCTATGTGCTTCAGTAGGCAGGTAAAATTGCCCAGTCCATCCTTGTGGCCTCATTGCACAGACAAGAAGACCAGCGCTGGGAGAGGAAAAGCAACGTATTTGAAGACACACATCTAGAAAGAGCTGGGGCCAGAGTTTTGTGTAGCATTAATTATACAAAGTAAAAGAATTCATTATGATATTTCTGGGTGTGAGTGTGGGCTTTGACCACAGACATTTCTTTCTTATTCCCCTTTCTACATACTTGAAGATCCTTTTCACTTAAAGGCATCAACATACATTTTATAATGTATTTTTAATGAAGTATTTTTAACAATTTTATATTAGATGTCCCATAAAATCCTTTAGGCAAGCATTAAATGTGTAAAATGTTAAGAATATCTAAGCTATTGTCTTTTATATAAAAAGTCTGGATTTGTCATTATTTCTACTACTAATAAAGTTTATAGGATATTTAAAAACAGTTTTCTCTACAAGGACATTCAATTCTGAATGGAAAGAGTAACATGAAGGGACAGAGAATAACACTACTAATAATATCATAACAAATAAATTTAGATGAAACTTTCTGTCAGTCAGAACAAAAGAAAGAATATTATGTGCACTATTTGATAAAATGAAAACAGCGAGTCTTTTTATTGCCTTTTCCATAAAAATACATTTTATTGGCACTAAAATCCATTTGGAAAACATTCTATTAAATCCTCATATGAGGGAAACCCTTTTGCCTTGATTATTTTCTAATTCATGAATGTATACCATACTCATGTAGTTTACATATTTATGTGTCTCCCCTTTTGAATTCATGGACTCTTTCTTTATTATTGCTACATACTGCAAGAGTGTAACTTCTAGGAATCTCTGCCCATGTACTCTCAACAATATGGCTGCCTAGACAAGATCTGAATGATGACACCATCAGTCCATGTGCCAGCATGGATGAGGGTACTCTCACAAAGTCTCTATGAAGAGTTACAGGCAGTTAATGACTGCCAGAGAGGGAAAATCAGTGTTCTCCAGGGATGATCCTCTAATGGATATTCAGTACCAGTGTGGTGAGCCCTAAAAACATGTACATATGAGTAACACTAAATGGACTCAGCAGCTTGTACGTATATGTTTATTTGTATATATATTTTAACTAAAGAGGGAAATTCATTTTTAAAAATGAGTTAGCTTTCCCAGGGCCTACCATACAGGTGTGAGGCATTACTCTAATCACTGTGCAACCTCATTGGAGGAAGGTTACATTTAGGTGTTATAAAGAAGAGCCAGGCAAGACAGGCCAGTTCCCTTGTCTGTGCCCATATAGCTGCTCAGTGGACAACCCAGAATGTTACCCCAGGATTCTGGCCCCACAGTATGCTGTGACAGTAGTCTTTGTCTCCAAGTGTTTGTATGTCAATAACAGAGGATTCCAAACCAGTGTGTTTATGATAATCGATAATAATAATGTCTGGATCTTCCAAACCTTTCTGAGAATAAAGACTATGCCTGGACAGTTTGGGAAATCTATTTTCAATAAACTAAGTTTTTGTCTGAAGAAAGTGTTGATTGGGCATAATTCATTGTGTTCAGCTGTTTATCTGTGCCCCGGCACGTATTCAGAGACACCGTAGTAACTTTAGACTTCGTTTTCTGTACTAGATTGCCAATATTTCATCTTCTATCACAAACGAACTCCCTCTTTCCTAGAGCCTAAATAGCTGAGCAATTGACACATCTGGAATTCTGGAGAACTTTGGAATACACAGCTCTTCTTGATGGGGGCATGAACTTTATTCCAAGTCACTTAGGGTTTTCAGGAAGCCATCATGGCAATTCCACTTCCTCCTCTGGGAAAACTGAGGCTCCGCTGTGTGCTCGCTGCCACCTCAAGTTGGAGTGTTTCTGCCTGAAGTGATTACATTATTCTTTCCCGCAATGGCATCTCGGAGAAATGGGCGGTATGTGCCTTCTGTCCCTGCCTGCCTGGGGCCCAAAGGCTTCTGGGTAAGAAGTGGGCGGGCATTGCACAAGGCTGCAACGGTCTCTGGATGAAGCAGTTGGCGTGCATTACATTTGAGCGCAAAGGCCTCTGGGTGAAGCAGTTGACAATCGCAGTTGGTAGGCGGTGCTACTGCTTGGGCATGGAGGACTGTGGGCTCTGGGACGTTATTTCAGGTGAAAAGAGGTTAAATTCAGTAAATGTCTAAAATCTTTGATTGCTTTCTACCTAATACAAGTATTCGCTTCAGGGGGACAACCCCCCTTTTTTTTGTAATGTGAACTTCCGGGATGCACTCCTTAGTTTCTTAAACCAGGTATAGTAGACAGTGTAGTTCTGCCTCCTTTACTTACTTGCTTTGTAAAATAGATAACAGCTTTGCCTGCCTGTTATATATTTTTGTACCTTTCCGAAGCAGGTCACCTCATGTTTTTAAAAAAATCTATCCCAGCAATTTTCCCAGGAGTCATATCCATGGCGGGAGTGGGGTGGAGTGGAGGAAGGAAGGGAGACAGTGAGAGTCCTGGGACTCCTGTAACATGTTTGGTGGGTTAAAACACACTTATTGTCTCACCGACTGGCGTTTTAAGAGTTGAAAATCAAGGTTTTCTTAGAGGTGGATACTCTGGAAGCTCTTAGTATGGACTCCCTCTTAGCTTCTGATGTTGGTTGGCAATCCCAGGTGTCCCGTGGTTTGTAGACTCACCACCACTACAACATCTGCCTGTCTTCTCATCGAATCCTCCTGTGTGTCTCTGCTTTTTACATTGTATGTGAAAGTCCCTGGATTAAAGACCACTCTATCTCATGAACTTGATTACATCTGCAGAGATCCTTATTATGGTTTGAATCTGAAATGTCCCCCACTGACTCATGAATTCTTGTTTGGTCTTCTCTCCAGCCTTGCTATTTTGGGAGATTCTGGAAAGTTCAGGAAAAGGAAGGGTGGCTCTTATTGGTTATGATCCATGAGAATATCTTATAGACTGCCTCTGCTTCTTGGACCACTGCAATGTGTGTGAACAGCTGTTGTCTACTACACTCCATTGTCACTGTGACCTTGTGCTCAAGCTCACATGGCCAAGTAAGTGTGAACACTGGTGTAGGAAGTCAAAATAATGAAGTCATCTCTTACGTTACTTTTATCAGGAATTTATCCCAACTGTGCAAAATAACTAATACAACCCTAATTCCAAACAAGGTTGCACTGGCAGGTTCTGGAGTTAGTTAGGGCTTAACACATTTTTAGGAGCATGCAATTCAACCCACAAAACCCATACAGTTGTAATAGCTTTTCCTATAAAAATGCTTTGGACCTGAGGAGCTGTGTAAGTTGGTAAGATGCCCTTGCTTTTGAGAGTGAAGACCTGAGTCTGATCCCCCAGCACCTACGTAAAAGACTGGGTGTGGTAGTTTGTGCTGGTTATCTTGGCCCTGGGGAGAGGGAGACAGTTTTCCCTGGAGCTATCTAGCTAACCATTCTAGCTGAGTTGGTGATTCCCAGGTGCCAGTGAGAGACTGCCACAGAAGACAGGGTGGACAATAACAAGGTTAATGGCTCCTGAAAAACAACGCCCAAGGTTGACCTTTGGTGTTTGCCCATGCACATGCCTGCAAACTTCCTGCCTCCCAATACCTTCCTTTTATGCTCAGCTCACATCTGACTTTAAATTTTATGATGTATTTACTTTCTTTTTTAAAATTGAATAAATTTATTTTACATCCTGGCTGCAGTTTCCCCTCCTTCCTCTTCTCCCAGCCCCACCCCCCCTCTTTTGTTCCCACCCCCAATCTACTCCTCCTTCGTTTCTGTTTAGGAAAGGGCAGGTCTCCTATGAGTATCAACAAAACATGGCATATCAAATTGCAGTAAGACTAAGCATCTCTCCATGTTTTAAGGCTGGGCAGGGCAACCCAGTATGAATAGGTCCCAAAAACCAGTAAAAGAGATGGAGACAGTCCCTGATCCCACTGTTAGGAGTGTCCCACAAGAGGACCAAGCTACACAACTGTAACATAAATGTGTAGTGCCTAGGTCAGTCCCATGCAGCCTCCCTGGTTGCTGATTCTATCTCTGTGAACCCCTATGTGCCCAGGTTAGTTGATTCTGTGAGTTTTCTTGTGGTGTCTTTGACTCCTCTGGTTGCTACAATCCTTTCTCCCCCTCTTCTGCAGGATTCCCCGAGCTGCTCCTAACGTTTGGCTGTGGGTCTGCATCTGTTTCCATCAGTTGCTTGATGACGAATCTCTGATGACAATTGGACTAGGCACCTATCTATGTGTATAGCAGAATAACCTTAGGCATCATTACATTGACATTTTTTTTCCTCCAGTCATGTTTGTTTCTATCCTAGGTCTCTGGACCATCCAGCTTCTGGGTCCTGGTGCTCCAGGCAGTGTCAGGGGTGTTTTTACTCGTCTGGCATGGGTTTTAGGCTAGGCCAGTCATTAGCTGGCCACTCCCTCAATCTCGAGGATGTAGCTGAAGGTTTTTCTGTGTCCTGGCTGGCCAGCAGCTGCTCAGAGCCAAATAAGCACACAGAGGCTTATATTAATTAAAACTACTTGGCCATTAGCTCAGGCTAACTATTGACTAGCTCTTACACTTAAACTCAGCCCATTTCTGTTAATCTATATGTCACCATGTATTCCGTGGCTTTACCTGTGTGCCATTACATGCTGCTCCCTGGACGGTGGGCTGGTGTCTCCTAACTCAGCCTTCCTCTTCCCAGAATTCTCCTTGTCTGCTTATTCCACTTATACTTCCTACCTGTCTACTGGTCAATCAGCATTTTATTTATCAACCAATCAGAGCAACACATTCACAGCATACAGAACATCCCACAGCAATAGGCTGTCTTTCCCCCAGCACATCCCACAGGCAGGACAGGTTGACGGTTATGTGGCTGGGCTGGTTTCACACTCCTTCCACTAGAAGTCCTGCCTGGTCACAGGAGAAGGCCAGTTCAGGCTACGTACCCACTATTGCTAGGAGTCTTAGCTGGGGTCATCTTTGTAGATTCCTGGGAGATTCCCTTGCATCAGGTTTTTACCTGACCCCTAAATGCTCCCCCTCTTTCCAGTAATCACTTTCAGTACTCTCTCCCTCCATCCCCCATCCTAACCTGATGTATTTATTTTTTTAAAAATTATTTTGTGTGTGGGTGTTTTGCCTGCATGTACATACGTATGTGCACAAGTATGCCTAGTGCCTACAGAGGTCAGATCTGCTGGAACTGGAGTTCACAGATGGTTGTGAGTCACTGTGTGGGTGCTGAGAACTGAACCCTAGTCCTCTGCAAGAGCAGCAAGTGATCTTGACTGATGCTGAGTCATTTCTACAGCCCTTTTACTATGTTTTTTACATAATCATTGAGTGTAATTAGTGCTGCTCTTATACACGTGGGTGTGGGGCCAACCCCTGGAGCATGCTCAACCTACCACGGACCACACCTAAAGAAAACTGACTCTCCCTCTTCTAGCAGCTATCAACTGTAAATTGCTCCTCAAGGTAGAGATTCATGTGCCCCCCATGCCTATGTTTGAGTGTGTGTGTCTGTATTCAAATGAGTTTCATTAGAGTTTCTTAAAGGAAAATAAGTAAGAGGCTATTATAACTTTGGGCACTTTAACCAGTGGTTACACCACTGAAGAAAATGTATTTCCATCTCCCAGAACCATTAATTGCCTAAAGATCCTCAGGGCCTGTTGTTGCCTCCTGAGCCCTTCCCTTTAACAACTATTAATTGCCTGTGAATCTTTAACAAGAAGTGTGGAATTGCCTCTCCATGACAGGATGCTGATGTGCTCAACCATGTGCATGTCATTACAGTTGCTGTGAGTTTAACAGTGCCACAGACATGTTATGCCTGGAAGACAGTTTTGCACAACACTCAGCTCAGTCCTCTGGTCTATCTCTTAAAAATGCTTTCAGCTGTCACAGTAATGTTTCCTTCATGTTGAAATTCCTCCAGAGTTAATTTTGGGATTCACCATCTTCATAGCAATAATTAATCTGTAATTTAAATCTGAAATCTTTTCCATTATTACCCCTATTACATATACAAAATTTATGTATGTCCTATAGTAAATATATCAACACTTGGAAGCCAAACAATGTAGTAAAAAAATAAGATTTTTAGGTGTTTTAAAATTCCAACTTTAGCTGGGCGGCACACACCTTTAATCCCAGCACTTGGGAGACAGAGCCAGGCGGATCTCTGTGAGTTTGAGGCCAGCCTGGTCTACAGAGTGAGATCCAGGACAGAGAAACCCTGTCTTGAAAAACCATAAATAGATAGATAGATAGATAGATAGATAGATAGATAGATAGATAGATAAAAAATAAATAAATAAAATAAAATTCCAACTTTAACCTTAACCCTTACCAGCTGACTGACTGACTTCTGTAGGTGTGGTTTAATCACACATAAGATGCGAATGTATAAAAGGACATATTTAAGCCGGGCGCTGGTGGCGCACGCCTTTAATCCCAGCACTCGGGAGGCAGAGCCAGGCGGATCTCTGTGAGTTCGAGACCAGCCTGGTCTCCAAAGCGAGTTCCAGGAAAGGTACAAAGCTACACAGAGAAACCCTGTCTTGAAAAACCAAAAAAAATAAAAATAAAAATAAAAATAAAAAGGACATATTTAGATTAAAATAGATGGAACTTTCACTATTCTGGTTATCATTCTTACATTTAAATAACTTGGTATCATTTTCATTGTTTTAAGTAAATGCAAATCAAAATAATCAAAAGCATAATCATAGCCTCCATGAATCACTTGATGTACTCTGAACAAATTGTTGAATTGCCAAAACAATACGAAGTTATACTATGTAAATTTAATCCGAATATCATTTTTGTGTATGAATTAAATGGTATAGAGTTTTCTTTTGAACCTTTTAATGTTTTATTTACAGGGAAGGATTAAACTTTTCATCTATAATTTAGAAGCAAAGCTCATCACAAAATGAAGCCAGTAAAACACGTATCACTCGCTAGCAATAAACTAGAAGATGTTACAGAATTACCTTATGAAAAAGGACTAAGTGATTTGTCATCTAAACCAAAGGAAAACACTGAACAAAATCATTTGAGGAGAAGATTGGAACAGTTGTCCTAACATCTGGACCCACTGGAGAACTCACTGAATGATGTACTTTGCCCATGAGCTCTAGGAAGACAATGGAACAAACAATAAAAATGAAATGCCTGGAAGATGACCAGCTCCTGAAGATGGGGAGACACCATATGGTTCCCATGCTGTGGGAGTTCCCACAGTGGTACCAGGTCTGGTGATTGTCCAGCAGGATATACAGGATTCAGCACACAGTTAGACCTGGATAAGATTTATTACAGAGGAATGGAAAGTGGTTTATCTGAGGAAAGGAGAGCCAAGCCTACAAGGTCTCACAGAGCATGCTTAATTTCTCTGACAGTGATTTGTGAAAACATATGTGATATGTGAACCTGTGAAGAACATTATAAAGAAATGCAATGCTCAGAGTTTATTGGAAATCTGTCTCATAGATGTCCTGTTCATAGTAGGTACCAATGATCCATACTCACACAGAAGCAGGCATTTAACATAAAACCACACTGATTGTGCACACAGCTTAGGGTGTGCACCATTCTTATGAGTGAATGATTGGAACCTTCCTGAAAAGCAGTTTCTCAGGTGCCAGGTTAAGGCCAACTTTGTAACAGCCAGACTTTGGGGGAAAGCGTACTTAGTGCTTTGAGCATTCATGGAAGAACGCATAGAGTCCTGAGTATCCCTTCACTGCTAGGAAGTAGGGTGAAGATTATTGTCCTTGGGATCTTCTGATAAATGATAGGCAAGGGATGGAAGTTTGTTCATGGTGCTGGCAGAAATAAGTCTGACTGCTAATGAGTCATGGCAGATTAGTCATGGCAGATCAATTTACGTTTAGATTTTGTTAAATATAATTTCAAACTGAATTTATTTCATTTGCTTTGCACTCTTTCATAGGTTTCTATGGTGGAAGAAACTATAGATTTAACAGTGAAAATGGAGACAAATCATGAAGCTTTGCTTCTTCATCTGTGAGTATTTTAAGCCTAATGCAGAAGAAATGGAAGTGGAGAGGTTTTATGCTTTTCTTTTTGAGCCGTGTATATAGTCAGAATGGACTTCTAACCATGGAAATGATTCCCGTAGGAAACTAACCTGCTCATTTGTCCATCCTCTGCCAACCCTTATCTCAGCATTGAATTAAGGCATGTCTATCAGAGTGTACGTGTGTATAGTCGAAAAACATTTTATTTACGTGGATGGAAAAAGCTGCAGTAAGATCTGTAGAAGGTGTCAATATAATATTGTCTCTATGGAAAAATTCAAATGTGAAGAGCAACAAATAAAAGGTACACACCTTCTTACTTAGCAGGGTAATTAATTCACATTGCAGTAGAGGTTAAGTCCAGTGTAACAAAACCAAAACAAGTGTTTCTCCATTATAATCAGTAAGCTGAGAATTACAGTGGGAAGATCATCTCAGGTTTAAAAAATACACATTCTACACAGAATATCCTAAGACAAGGGGACCCAGTTATCAGCTGTTGAGGGCTTCCATATTGTTTACAGGGGAAAAAAGACAATGAGTTGACATACCTATAAATAAAATTATTTAGTTTATACAGTAAAAATGTACACATTATAAAGTGAGCAGTTAAGTCCAAAAATAGATTTATAAGAGTGATTACATCTCACACAACATATGCAGTATTTAGCATGTAAAAATATCTGGTTTTAGTAGGTAAAAAATGTGTTTGGTTTTCAGCTGTGTTGCAGATCTTGTAAGCTGAAGTAACCTGTGTCCAAGTTTCTCTGAAACATAATAAATGTCTTTTCAAAGCATACAAAATTATAAGCATTCTCACCACAGTCCAAAGGGTATTTTGTTTTGTCTTGCTTCAGAAACACATTTATTTTTTAAAGATTTGTTTTATTTTTAGTTATGTGTATGTATGTGTTTACTTGTGGGTATGTGCAGTTGCCCATGAAGGCCAGGAGAGGGCGAGGATCCCCTGGAGCTGAAGTTAATATAATAGGCAGTTGTGAGCCTCCTGATGTAGATTCTGGGAACTGAACTCAGCCAGGTCCTCTGAAAGAGTGCCCAGTGCTCAGCTGCTGAGCCATCTCTCCAGCCCCTGGCGGCACATTTGAAATGGGTGAAAGGTCATGGTGCAATGAAACATTAAATAACTCAGTGGTAAATTTCTGTTATAAAAGTGATCCTTGGTGGTTTATAGGGAGAGTCTGCCAGAAAGTGTATGGTAAAGAAGACTCTGCTTAACACATGCTATGAGGAGCCCCACAATCAATAGTTGCTTCCCAGAGGAACCCTGAAGTGGGAAGTTTTGAGTCATTTACAGGTATTCAAACCTATCCCCTGTTTTCCAGCCAGTTTTGTGTTTTATCACCTTGGGCCTGGAGAGTCCTTGTGCAGCGGGCTCAGGGTTCCTTCCACAGCTGCTGCTGCTTTAGCTCTGTGGTTGGTGAAGGGGAGGGGACAGCACATGGCTCCTGTCCTCCAGGGCTGCAGCTCCTGCCCCGCCCCTCTGGCCTTGCACTTCTTGCCATGGTAGGACTTCCTTTGTTTTTTCCTCTGGGTCACTGTGGTAGTTTGAATGTGGTTGGCCCCCATAAGCTCATAGGGAGTGGCACTATTAGGAGGTGTGGCTTTATTGGAGTAGTTATGCCCTTGTTGGAGGAAGTGTGTCACTGTGGGGGTGGGCTTTGAGGTCTCATATATACCCAAGCCATACCCAGTCCACTCAGTCCACTTCCTGTTGCCTTCTGATCAAGATGTAGCCAGCACCAGCCTGCACACCACCATGCTCCCGTCCATGATGATAATGGACTAAACCTCTAAACTGTAAGCCACCACCTCAAATATTTTCCTTCATAAGGGTTGCTGTGGTCATGGTGTCTCTTCACAGCAAACTCTAAGACAGTTGGGTTAACACAGGAGATAGATTTGCTGACATCTCGGATCTTGGAGAGATTGGTAGGGGCCTCTGTCATTTTATCAGTGAGCAGCCAGGGCTCCCATTAGATCCTCCAGCTCTTTCAGCTGGTCCTCCTGGCCCTGAAGGTCCAGACCCTTAATCTTGCTGCTAACCCCTGTGGCTGCCTAGTTCCAGGGCAAAAGCCGAACCTAAACTTTTAAGGGGTAAGGCAGACAGGAAGGGTTTATTTCAGTTTACAGCTTACAGCCCATCATGAAGGGAAGTCAGGCCAGAACTCACAGCAGGACCCTGGAGGCAGGAACTGATGCAGAAATCATGGAGATTGCTGATACAGCTTTGCTCCCTGTGGCTTGCTCAATTTGCTTTATTTTTTGCTTTTTGAAATTAAAATATAATTACATCATTTCATCCTTCCTTTACCTACCTCCAATCCCTCCCATGTACCCACCTTGTTTTCTCTTAAATTCATGGCCAATTTTCTTTAATTGTTGTACACATCTATTCCTAAAGATATAAGTACAGCCTACTCCTTTTGTATGATGTTACTTGTATGTATGTTTTCAGGGCTGACCACTTGATATTAGATAACTAATTGGGGGACCCTTCTTCTAAGGAAGACTATCTTTTCTGCACCCAGCATTCCTTGTTACCTGTAGTTCTTTGTCTATGGGTGAGGCCCTGTGAGGTTTCCCTCCTCCATGTTAGCATGTCTATTAGTATTGTCCTTATTCAGGTCTTGTCTAGGCTGCCATGCTGTTGAGACTTTGTAGGTGTGGCTTCCCTTACATTTCTAGGAAACACAATCCCACAACAGATTTCCTGTTCCTCCAGCTCTTAAAATCCTCTGGCCCCCATCCCTTCATGTTCTGGGCCTTACATGCAGGAGTTAGGTTGTAGATATATCAGTTGGAGTTGGGTACCACGTGATTACTTGTTCTCTCCATTCGACCCATTGTGGTTTTTTTGTAATGGTCTGTCTGTTGTAAAGAGAAGTTTCTTTGATGAGAAGTGAAGGCTATATTTATCTGTGGGTATAAGGATACTTAGAATGCAGTTAGTAATGATACTGGTTTAGAGAAATGCCAGTATTAGGGTATCCTCTGGGATCTATGACCTTACTAGCCCTGGGTAATTGGTAATTTCCAGTACCAGACATGATCTCTCTCTTGTTGACCAGGCCTTAAATCCAATTAGAGAGCTGTTGGTTACCATCGAGGTCTGCATGCCCCTACTGCACCCCGAGGGTGACATGCTCATTGGTGTGGTTCATAGGCATCATAACTGGTTAGGACGATAGTTGCTTTCCTCTCTTGAAAGCTCCCATGGCACCTTCTGGTACCATGAAAGCTATACTTAAAAACAAACACTTTCATGTGTATGGGTGTTTTGCATGTGGGTACTAGACTTGAATTTGGGTCCTTTACAAGTGCTCAACTGCTGAGCCATCTTTCCAGCCATGTTTATAACACTTTAAAATTTCTGAAATATTGTTAGGAATGATCACTCAGTGTGGATAACCTAATGAGTCTTATTTTCTTCCTTTTTAGTTCCTTCTTTAAAATGAAACCACAGCAGAAAAATTAGAAAATGCAAATGAGAAATGAACAGAAGGCAAAAGATTTTGCCATCCAAAAGAATTACATACTCATTTCTTTTTAATTTGTTTAAAATTTTGTATTGTTCAAAGTTATAGACTAATAGAAATGGGTTAATTTAATATAGAAGAACTAGATAACAAGAAGCCTGCCACGGCCATACAGTTTATAAGAAATATAAGTCTCTGTGTGTTTACTTGGTTGGGTCTGAGCGGCTGCAGAACTGGCGGGTGAGAGAGATTTGTCCTGACAGTGGGCCAGGCAGGACCAGGAAAACTCTAGCTACATGCTACCATTGCCTGACTTCTATGTTTACTGTAGTGGCTGGCTTTTTCCTCTGATCTCCAGATAAGCTTTATTGGGGTACACAAATATAAAAATATCACCACAGTAGACAAATATTTTTCCTTTCAGTACTTTCTCAATCTTGCCGCTCCTTATTGGTCTGTTTAGGGTTTCAAGGTATTCATGGCTCAAATGTGATCATTTGTATGTTAAGAAATTTGCAGTTTGTCATCTCTAGAGGCTAAGTATACACTTAGGGTGCCCTCCAGAAGCCAGAGCCACTTAGCCTCTAGCAGCAGCTTCATCATCTGCAGTTGGCTCATCTGACACTGTGCCATGACAGCCAGGCCTGATGGTTCAGATGGCAGCCACTGCAGTGGGTGTGGCTGTGGTCCCTGTGGTGAGGTGGTGGGGCACACACTGGATCATGCCCTCACTGGAGTGTTCAGTTGAGGTGGTAATGCTGAGCCCACAAAGTTTGACATCACTTACCAGGAGCCTCGGGAGCCCAGCTGCTGGAGCAGGAGTCTGACGGTTCTTGCTTTCTTGAGATCACAGTTTCTGGCATGCACTCAGAACAATATGAGAGTTTGGATGAGGTGTTGAGGCAGTGCAGACTGCAAAGGGATTGATTCATCTAATTCAGAAGTTCAAACTGGAGAAATGGGAAACTGGCTGTAATGGTCAATGACGTTGGTATAGAAATGTAACTGATGGTACCAGTGTGAGCCCTGAGTGAACTTCTTGTTAACAGTCCCACTACTTCAGAATGGCCATGTAAGAGAGTTCTCTCTGTATAGAAGTTCACTGACGTGCAGTGTACGGACTGGGCAAGTGTTTGTTTTCCATTAACAAGCTGCATTATTTGTGAGTTAATTTAAAAGAGATAGGATGCCCATGTGTGGACACACTAACAATTGAGGGCCCAGTGCTACCAATTTAGTCATGACATTTCCTTAATAACTGTAGATTTGAGCTCAGCTGTGGGGGGCCTTTATCACTTGCATTCCTGAGAGCAACAGGTACCTGAAGCCCCTGCCCACAGACCAGGTAGTGGTAAAAGCCCACATTCAGCAAAGAAAGAGGCCCATAGTGTCCCTTCTGTGGTGCTGGGTCAGAGCATTGACAGTGGCATATCCCAGCATGGCAGAGGGGAAGACTGTAGGCAGGAACTGCATGGTTGCCTACTTTCAATCCTAACATTGACACCAAACCCATAACAGATTGTTACACATCCATGGTAACAGGGAAGATGTCCTCATCTCTGAAATAGGCCCCCGGTTGCTTCTCTAATGACTCATTCTGTACCCCTTTTTTCCAGAACTGGAGGCATCATCTACTGCTACAGTTCTCATAGCTCTACTCCTCAGCTCCATGGTACTGCAGATGGTTGCTGTCTCTGCTGTCCATGTCCACAGGAAGCCGAAGATCTGACTGTAGGTTTGCGGGAGGGTAGTCTAAGGACTGTCATGGAATTGTCAAGGCCAGCCGGAGGGTCAGGTAACATCACACAGCATCAGATTTAAGGAGTCTGGAGGAGATATCACACATTGCTCTATATACTCTGCTCTGTATACTCAGGAGTCTCATGAAACCCTGAGTAGTTCCCAGCTCCCAGGAGCTATGTGTGATATGCAGAAGGGGATAGGTCAAGGGCTTGCCAGCAGTACTCACAGCATCTTAGATGATCTGAAGGAGGTGGAATGGGGGTGATTGAAGGAGCACTGACTGTCATGGTCTTCTTGGAGGTCATCTCTAGATTAATAGATGGCTAGGGGTCTGTGGGCCAAGGGGAATCTACATTTTTAGAAATTATAGATGATCTGCTCTCAGGGATGTTTCTATTGCTTGTGACCAAGAAGAAATGACAAGGAAAGATGGTCATGACTTGGGAAGGAGACAGAAGAGACATACAGGAGTAGAGCAGCACTAAGGATGTCATAAAATTCGAGGGATAATTCACAAATGATAGAAAAATGATTAAATGGGACATATTTCCTCATTTCTCTCTCCTTCCTTTGTCATGTTGGACCCTTAATTTCTGCTACCTCCTAATGCCTTCCCTCCAAGGACAGTGACTATCCCATAATATCTGGTTGTTCCTTTGCATAGGCCTTGATGCCCCAGAGCTGGGTTTGGATCCATGGTATGGAGCAGGTGCCCTGAGAATGGGCTCTGCGCCCTGATCTGGACCTTCCCTTAAAATGTGAGGAATAAACCCAATCTGAGCATATCAGGGTGTCTCTCTACCTTCACCATGGGGTTGGCTGTCACTACATATACTATTCCATGCTCTCCATAGCTACAATATTTTCTGGATTCCTATCTAACAAAACTCTTAAACCTTGTTGATGTTCTCAAATAAGCCCCAGCCTAACTTAGGAATAAAAGTTATTCTTATTCCTCTTTATACAAGTGGGTCTAGTCCTCAGACCCATTCAACCAAAGACTGCCCTACCCTCTCTGCAATGAACATCATCTCTTCGGTCATCTACATTCTTCTCATCCCTATTGCCTAAGGTGCTGGGACAGTTCAGAGATGCTGAGTCGGTCTTGCTTTCTCTCTTTTCTTCCCGATTGTAATCAAGACTCGGAAAGTACTTACATCCATTGATGAAATGGTAACTGTTCCGAACCTGAGTCTAAAATGAGGGAAAAATTATTTGTAATGTTTATGTTATTCTCATATAGATTCTCTCACCGTGGTTAATTTGGGGCTGCTAACAGTTTAATTACTATCTGGTCATTTCTCAGTCCAATCCACTCCAACACAACACTGTATTGTGTCCACAGTTGGTTTGTCTCCCCTAGGCTCAGCCATATCACACCCAGTGGACCATTGTATAGCCTCTACACACTCCAGTTTCAGTGTTTCCCTAGATAGAGGCTCTGCATAGAAGAACAGGGTTGTTAGAAACTGAAACTGATGGGATCCATCTGTGTATTCTTTGAAGCAAATGTGATTGTCTTGTAAGTTTTTTTTAAATATTTATATGTTTGTATGTGTGTGTGTTTACACGTGTAAGTTCAGGCATGTGTTGTTCATATGCCATGGTGCATGTGTGCAGGACAACTTTGGGTGTTGGTCCTCTTCTTGGACATTGCTCAAGACAGGGTTTCCTGTTCCTGACTACGTATAGTAGGCTAGCCGGCCTGCTCTCTTCCAGGGATTCTCTGGTCTCTGCCTCCAATTTTGCTGGAGGAGTGCTGGCCTTAGAGACTCACACTATCATGGCCTGCTTTATGTGAGTTCTGGTGACACCAACTCAGGTCCTCACACTTACCCATCAGGCTCTTTACCCACAGAGCCATCTCAGCCCCTTATGAACCTTATGACATTTTACAAACATTAAAAAACCTTCCAGCCTGGGGACATGGCTCAGCAGTTAAAAATGCATACTATTCTTGCAAAGGACCTGAGTTCAGTTCCCAGCACCCACTTCCAGATGGCTTATAACTGTAATTTCAGCTCCAGGGATCCATTCCCTCTTCTGGACTCCTTGTGCACCTACACAACGCACACACACACACATTTACACATATATAGACATAATTAAAAATTTTAAAATAAAATCAATCTTAAAAACCTTCATACTGTCACTAATAAATGTGTAAGTAAATAAAGAATAATACAAAACAATTTTTAGTGCACTGCAATTTGAAATCTTAGACATTGTGAGTTTTGTCTTTTGTATATTGAGAAAAGCATATGAAGAATACCTTGAATTTCTTATATAATTTCTCTGTAAGGCAGGCATCTTTTCTGTCTTATTAGTCATCATCCTCTATATGTTTTGGATTAGCAGTCAACCCTTAATCCCTTGTATGTACTTTTGGTGCTGGGAGATCTCTTCAATAGTTCCTTTAATGTGGAGTTTTAAATGGTACCATCTTCCTTCTTTTGCTACCACCACATTCCACATGAAATTCTCTGGTTGCCCAAGTAGAGTCTCTCAAATGGGTCAGTGCCAGCACACCACTGCCACCTACTCAACTCTCTCTAACTCCTCTCTGGTTGAGATTGCATCTTACCACAGTAGTAGCTCCTCTTGCTTCTTCTCTGAACTTTCATTTTTTTTGCCAATACCATTTTACAAATTATTTACTCTTGTAAATACTGTGAGGGCTCATTACTGAGTGACAGGGGGGCAATTATCAGTTTCCTGGGTATGTAAATATTGAGAAAGATGCCTACTCAGACTAGTTTATTACCAGCAGCACTAAGGAAATGATATTATTGGTCACTGATAGTGATAAACATTTTATTTAATTTTTTTAAAGATTTATTTATTTATTATACATACAGTGTTCTACTTGCATGTATGTCTGCAAGCCAGAAGAGGGCACCAGATCTCACCATAGATGGTTGTGAGCCACTATGTGGTCACTGGGAATTGAACTCAGGACATCTGGAAGAACAGCCAGTGCTCTTAACCCCTGAGCCATCTTCCCAGCCCGTGATAAGCATTTTAAATTGGTATGTTGATCTGTAAAGTAAAGAGCCAGCACTCAAGATTACATGTTGTGCAATTCCTTACGCTACATTTGTGAGGTATCTGCCGGAGAAGACTACTCAGGCATGGTTCAAGCCAATAGGAATCCTTTATTAGCCAGCCAGCAACTACACTGGGTGTTTGGGATCTGAGTGCAGTCCTAAGCCTTTTTCTTGGTGTGGCTTTAAGTATGAAAACCACACCCTGGGTTGACATACCACAGTCAACAAGAAATTTAGCCAGAAGCCAAAGTATAGAAGCCAAAAAGCAAGATTAGTACATTTAGGGACTTTCCCAGAACTCTGGACATTGATAGATTCGGTCTTTGATCTCATTTTGGCAGGTGGTGCTATCTACATGCTGGGTTCCAAGACCTGAATGGTACTTCCATCATGGCATCAGTTGTGCTAATGTCTAGGGAACTACTGAGTTCTAGAAGTCTACAACACTACATCTGCTGTATGAAGGGAAATTTGAGCCTTGTGTTAGTGAACCAATGTTACTCAAACTCTGGCAACTAAAATTCATGAATACCCACACCAAAGTGAGAACCATTTGTCTTCCTTAAACATAGTGCCAGTTCAAACAGGAAAAGGATGTATAGCCGCAGTTTCAAGAATAGGGATTTTCATAAGATACATGTGAAATGATTTTTTAAATAATGGATATGTCATTAATGATAGCAGTTTCTCTTAAATGTTACACTTCAGTTCAAAGCTTAATATTATTTATAACTGCTCGGCCATTAGCTCAGGCTTATTACTGACTAGCTCTTACACTTAATTTAACCCATAATTTTTTTTTCAAGACCGGGTTTCTCTGTGTAGCTTTGCGCCTTTCCTGGAACTCACTCTGTAGTCCATGCTGGCCTTGAACTCACAGAGATCCGCCTGGCTCTGCCTCCCGAGTGCTGGGATAAAAGGCATGTGCCACCACTGTCCAGCTAACCTATAATTCTTTTTATGTTTAGCCACGTGGCTTGATACGTTTCCTCAGTTCTGCCTTGTCATCTTGCTTCCTCTCTGGCTGGCGACTCCTGACTCAGCCTTCCTCTTCCCAGAATTCTCCTTATCTGCTTATCTTGCCTATACTTCCTGCCTGGCTACTGACCAATCAGCATTTTATTTATCAACCAATTAGAGCAACACACACTCACAGCATACAGAACGATATCCCACAGCATTTCCCCTTTTCTTTCTAATCAAAAAGGAAGATTTTAACTTTAACATAGTAAAAATACATATAACAAAACAGTTATCAAGCAAGAATTACAGTTACAATATCTAGTCTATTTGTATTTGGCAAAATTAAACAAAATTATCTATCCTATATTTGTGAGTCTAAAGTTTCATATCTAATTTATCTTTTATCATAACCAAGGAAAATTATATCTAATCTTCAACTACATCAAAAACCTCACAAGGATATAATATTACCTAAGTAAACAGGAAGAGCATTGTAAGCAACTTCCAAAAATCTAGAATTATAGAGACAGGTGGATGCTTGGACCTTCACCCAAAGTTCCTCTGTAATGTTGGGACATCCATCTTCAGCTTATAGGCCCAGAGTCTCTCAGTTGTTTCTCTCTGTGTCCTGTAGAATGTCTCGCAGTTTCTTCTGCAAAGCAGGAACCTGAAGAACTATCTCACATTGCAAAGTTCAGTGGTCACCTTTCTATGGGTCCTGCATGTCCAGTTTATACAACATATTGTCAATCAGTCCACACAAGGGCACTTTTTTGCCCAGTGGCTAACTTTTGCCACAAAGAAAGCAAACTCTGAATTTATTCAATGCCTATCATTCTCCTTGAAGTAGTTGGTGCTGCTAGGATCAGATGTGTCTCATTGTCCAGAAAGTCTAAGTTTTTAAAACATTTTAAATGCCATATTCTGTAGGTCTTTGAAGTGTTTGAAGATTAACTACCTAACTGAAATATATCTATTTATACCTAGAAAACCTAACTAACATGACTATAAGTTTGATTATCATGGAGACTAATTATTAATCTATGTAATGTATTAATGTAATTATACATTACAATTTTAAATGAGCTATACAAACATAATACCTTAAATAAGAGTAGAAATATACATACAGTATAACAAAATTAACTTTAAATTTGTAATAAACTAAAATCTATAGCAATTTAAAACATTTTACACAGTTGATACTCTTTAAAAGTAGATTCAATAGTCTACCCTTTCATCCTATCATTTCTATATCCCATCCTCCTTTTTTCTTTAGAAGGATATTGACTATGACCAATAATAATTTGTAACCAATCTATAAACAAAGATAAATATCCATAATCCAGTTTTTGGGAATGTGGGCATTGTTTTCTAGGCTACTTCCTGCTGGTGGGGGCACTGGCAATCTTATGGGGATCCTGAGAAAATTTGAGATAATGCTAAAGTCCTGGGAAGACCAGCTATAACCTTTGTTGATAGGTACCCTCTCTTAAGGTTCAGGAGATCTTGCTTGATCAGATCTGATCCATCTTAGCCTGGGACAAATCCCTAGCCTCTTGTTTCCTAGAGAAACAAGCAGAGCCTCCTTTCCAAAGCAACATATCCTTATACATAAATTTTGAAGTCAAGATACTTTAAAATATACATACTGGTTTAACTGATTTGCCTTTACAATCGAATGTCCCTCTGCAGTTAAAAAAAAACCCAAAGACAATATAATCCAGACTCTGTGTGTGATTTCCATCTTTATGTAGTTTATTTTTTTATATTTTACTGTCTCTTTAAAAGACTTTATTTATTTTTTATTTTTATTTTTTGGTTTTTTTGAGACATGGTTTCTCTGTGTAGCTTTGCTCCTTTCCTGGAACTCACTCTGTAGCCAAGGTGGGCCTCAAACTCACAGAGATCCACCTGCCTCTGCCTCCTGAGTGCTGGGAAGACTTTATTTTTTAAAACTATTTCTTTATATAACTGTCTATATTCATTTTCCTCTTTCTTCCAAGCCTACATACATTTTTACACACATTGTAAACAGTTTAGAGTCTCATTCCATCTGAATCTGCCTTATTGTGAATCTATTGCTTTAAACTGCAGTGGATAGTACTGAAGCGACAGCCTTGGCTGCTGACTTTGCCCACTTCATCTTCCCAATATGGTGGTGGTACATTTACCACCAGCTCTGGGAGCCATGAGCACCACCAGCTCTTGGAAGCAGTGGGTCTATGCCTCTATCAAAGCAGCATGTAGCCCAGAGACCTCTTTTTTTTTCTGTCTGTATTAGCAAAAGCTAAATCCACCACACAGCATATTGCACAGCCTCTGTGTACCGTGGTGGGAATCCACCATGCTGCAGGTCAAGCCTCCATGCCACAAACCTGCCATTCTGTAACTCAAGGCTTGCCTGGGACATAACTAAGAAGCTCCATTTTTAGCTCTGTTTTTGTGTGTTTAGAAGCCCTTTTTAAACTCTTTTAGGCCTTATGGAAATTCAAGAGCCCCACGTTGGTATTTCAAATGTAGTTGGAAGATTTCCTGTGTCCCGCCTGACCTGTGGTCGGGACAAATCTCTCACCCACAGTCCCACAGCCTTTTATAAAATAATCACACAGAGGCTTAATATTATTTATAACTGCTTGGCCATTAGCTCAGGCTTATTACTGACTAGCTCTTACACTTAGTTTAACACATAATTCTTATTTATGTTAGCCATGTGGCTTGATACCTTTTCTCAGTTCTGCCTTGTAATCTTGCTTCCTCTGTGTCTGACTGGTGACTCCTGACTCAGCCTTCCTCTTCCCAGAATTCTTCTTGTCTGCTTATCCTGCCTATACTTCCTGCCTGGCTACTGGCCAATCAGCATTCTATTTATCAACCAATCAGAGCAACACACATTCATTCACACCATACAGAATGATATCCCACAGCAAGGTAGTAACACTGGGCTTTGCTTCTTAACACCTGGTGACCTTAGGAACAATTCATGTCCCTCAGTTACCTTCTGGGAAGTTGTGGTGAAGCATTGAGAGTGTCCATGATATAAAGCTTCCATGATAATGTGGTCCAACAATGACTGT